AAAACATGGTGTAAATAAAATGCAATTTTTTACAAACCTGAAAAAAATCTTTATTGTATGCTCTTCGCAAATTAATTTTCCCCTTTCCTAGAAAGTTAACAAGCCACAACTCCAGGCGTAAGAAAGACGATCAATTCCCCACAAAACCGGCTTTAAAGAAGAAATGCAGGGGGGGGGGGGGATGTTAGTGCGAGAAAAAAATCGAAATAGATTTTAAAAGCAACAACAACAAAGTCCAAATTTTTGCTCATGCGCATGCACCAAAAACGAAAAAAGCAGCTTAATTGACCACTCCAGAAATACCATAACATACCATAATACTCTTTGTTTGTCGCCTAAAAATTTTGCATAAGCATTTTCTTCAGTTTCTCTTGGGAGTTAAAATGGCTCCAAGAGAAACTGAAAACAATGCTTATGCAAAATTTTGGGGTGACAAAAAGAGAGCATTATGATATGTTATGGTATTTTCTGGAGTGGTCAACTACATTGAACTAGCAGGAAAATATACTCTCAGTGTTGCAAATCTCATTTCAACCATTCCCTTTCGAATCAGGTAAAACTCGTCCAAAAAAAAAGTTGGTGAAAAATGTGGTGTTCTTTTGCAACTCGCTGGCGGTCGCCAAATGGTTCAATGAGTGTAAAGGTTGGCGTTCAGCGGTGTACATTTTTTTTTCAAGAAAATCGAATTCCAAGATCTTAGATAAAAATTACTTAATTTTGTACCCTAAACGAAAGGAATCAGGGTCATAAATATAAGGTCTCTCCTGTTAACAAGAAATCTCCCTATGCTTAAATTGTTTTCAGCGGCTCTTAATTTGAAATGAAGTAGTGCAAGCATGATGTGGAATTATCGAGTCTAATCAGACATCACTGATGACATTAAGCCGTACATCTTGTGTCATAATAACATCTGAAATTCCTTTAGAGAGTTTTCACTAAGGAGTATCGCTAGTACATAAGCCTTGCTTTCATACCACAGTGCCCTGCTGATCACTGCTCCTTGAGAAGAGCCTGATTTACCCCCATCCTTTTCATTGCTATTAATACTCTGCCGAATGTATTAGTCGCATGGTAAAGAAGACGTGTTTGGGATGTTTGTGAAACTTCCTTTTGGTGGCTTTTCGGTGAGTTATACTCTTAACTATACTTATATGCTTACCCATTCCTGCAAAAGGAATGCTAAAATTACTATCTTTTCCAAGTTTGAATTATCGTGATCAGTAATTTTCTCTTTCTTTCTTTTTCTTCTTTTCTTTCTTTTCTATTTTTTTCCCTATGCTATTAAGGGGGAACTCTTGACGTTACTGTACACGAGATACAGATGGACGGTTCTATCAAAGAAATCCACAAAGTTACAGGAGGTCCATATGGCGGTATTAAAGTGAATCAACAATTTGAGAACCTTCTAGATGAGCTGTTTGGAGCAGGGAATGTCCAATGTTATCGTCAGAAGTTTTGCTCCGATTGGTTATCCTTAGCGAACAAATTTGAAGCCAAGAAAAGAAGTGACCGAATTGTACAAGAAACAACGATGACAAATATTCCACTACCACGCAGTTTTGTGAAACAGTTGAGGAGGAAACAGACACCAGCCATGCATGCCTATGTGCGAAAAGGCGAGGTCAAGCTAAAGAATGACGAATACCTCTCCCTTAGTTCAGGAATGATGATGAAATTGTTCAAACCCACCATTGATTGCATCAAGGACCACCTGAAGGCCTGCTGCAAGAACCGAAGCTGTCTAAAGTAAAAACCATGCTGCTGGTTGGCGGTTTTGCTGATTCTGCCCTTCTCCAACAGAAAACCAAAGAAGCTTTTTCGAGACAAGTCAGAGTGCTGGTTCCAAACAATGCCAGCGCAGCGGTCGTTGAGGGTGCCGTGGTATTTGGAAAGCAGCCTGGAAAAATTACAGAAAGAGTGGTTTCTACGACGTATGGCGCTGGTTGTTCGCGGAATTTCAATTATGGTGTGCATCCGGAGGAGAAGAAATTCATTGCAGATGGCGTCGAGAAGTGTAAAGATCTTTTTAATCTATTTGTACTTGAGAATTCCTCAGTGCGATTTGGGCAAAAAGTTACAAAAGAATACTCACCTCTTTACGCCAACGACAAAGAAATAACCTATGACTTTTATTCAGCCAGCTATCCAGATACCCAGTTTACTACAGATTTTGGCGTCAAAAAGCTCGGGAGTGTCACGGTTCTGTCGCCTGACACATGGAGAGGTAAAGACAGAGACCTTGAAGTCAGCATGTATTTTGGTGGAACAGAAATCACCGCCACAGCCCGTGATGTTTCAAGTGGAAACGTGGCCCAAACTAAAATTGACTTTTTGCATAAATAAACATTGAGATCGACAGCCTATAATAAGAATTTACCGCTGTTTTAGAATGTGATCTTAGATAAGTAAAATGTTTTAGAATTCATAAACTTAATTAAGATCGTGGTGTGATTTAATCTAATTCATTTCAGTTTACCTAGTTACGTTTGTTCATCCGGTATTACCGCTATTAACGTTTGTAGGCTTAAACGGATAATATTTGTATTTTTCCTGTTGCAGTTAATACTCTTGGAATAGGTTTTGTTATCATGGCACGTTGTTTGGCATATAATATTTGTTCTGGGATGTAAAACTAGTAAGCCTATGAACGTCGAAGCAATTAAATAATAATTATAAAGCTTGTTTGAAAACTCATCCTCTAAGATTAAAAAAACAAACAAACAAACAAATTCTGGGTCATGTCCATAATGCTGTTTAGACGGGCCACTGGTCTCGAGAGGGTGTTCAATTTTGGTTCCTGCCAACTGGTTACCAGTAAAATTGACCCAAATATCTAATATCTAAAGAAGAACCTGAATTGTAAAAGAATTACCAAAAACGAAGTACCGAAAAGCTGAAAGGGGGATTAATGTACGCAAAAGTGAAGACCGACTTAAATGGATTGCATTCACAATTAAACCGGCTAATAACAGTGGAAAGACTTTTTTTAAGTTCGCATGAAAATTATATGATCATGCTTTACATTGTTTCGTAGCTGTTATTTTCTCAGTTGAACAACTTTTGCTTATTAGTCAATTTGTAGAACAAAGTTCTTAGTTCAAGAAAATAAGCAAATCTGATTACGGCCTACTTTAGCCCATTTCACTTGAACACCTTCGTATTCTGAAGTTTACAGACGACTATTACATTCTTTGGCAAGAATTGAAGACAAATAACCGATAAACGTTTACTATTTGTTCTTGAATTAAAAGTCCAGAGTGTAGCACGTCTTTCCCTTTCCTCCAAAATAATTATAAAACTGAGAGAAAGCTCTTGAACATTTTTTAAGGCACTTCAGAGGGCTTGTTTGAAGCTGACAATACGAAACGTACGCTGAGTTAGCAATAATTTTATTCCTATTTAGAAAAGTAAATTTAGTACTTAAAATTAAGGCAATTGTTGCAAGTATTCCTGAGTTTGATGAAAAGTGGATCACAAAAAGTAGTTTAAATGTAATCGTATTTTAATGTAATCGTAGCTTAAATGTAATCGTATTTTAATGTAATCGTCTGGTTGAGAGGAGTTCCGAAGCTGATAGGACTGCTGATAGGACTGTTGTTGACAGTGAATAAGACCGAGTAAGACCGTGATATCAACGGACGGATGTAATTATCAGAAATGGAAGTGAATTGTGTATCGTCAGTAAACTACGATATAATAATCCATTTGTTCACTTCATGATTGAATAAAAGGGCTAATTTTTAAAGAAAATGATTTGCTGCGTTTTTTAGGGAGTAGAACTCAAGAAAATTCACTTTTTGATCTACAAAGAGACTCAAAAGCTAACGTTTAGAAACGTAAGAACAAATGAAATAAGGCCATCAAGGTCGTCTCATTTTTACTATGTTATATCTCGGTGTGTTGTTAGTCAAGTTTGTCAGTTTTGTTTAGTCAGGCTATCGTTTGCTTGGTTGGTTATCTGTTTGTTAGTTTGTTTGTTTGTTTGTTTCGCTGAGTTGGTGATTAAATCGTTTGTGACGCTGCCTTAATTCAGCGTTTATTATTATTATTATTATTATTATTATTATTATTATTATTATCATTATTGTTAATTATTTGTTTCTTTTTAAACGAACCCGCTTTCTACAAAGGAAGTCGTTCATGTTAGAAGCGTCGGATTGAGTAAGTAACACAGGCAATCGCTCTTAGTCAATGGGGTCGTTAATTTGCGACAACTAACAAATTGAAACTGGGTTGATCTACCTTCAATAACATATCAAAGCATAAAATGTTCCAAAAAAAGGTTTTTTTGATTTTAATACTTTAATAATCTCTAAGTGTGAAGAAAAGGATCTCACTATCTCGCTTTATAATTATTCAGTAACAGTGAAACAAAGTTATCACCCGGAAACAAAGAACAAGGACGAGGGGGGGGAGGAGAGGGGTTCTTTAAAAAAATTTGGGTGGGAAGTGCCGCTGGGACCCTGGAACCCTTCTCCTATACCAGGCTAGTTCAGTTGAATTTTGCTACCCTATACTAGACTAACCCCCCCCCCCCCCTCATCCCACCCATCCTAGAGTAGCTGTTTTCCAGAAACTACTGAGATCACTAGCACAGTCCAGCCAAAACAAAACCGATTTGATTTTTTTATGTTTTTGAGTGGCCAACTGATCAGTTTTCTGGAGAGTGATACCCTATACTGGACCCAAACTCTCTGATATATATACCCTATCCCAGTGTAAACTGCTTGGAAATCATACCCTTCACAGCGGCACATCCCTATATAGCCCATATATCGCAGTATCCCCCCCCCCCGGAGCCATAAATCTATCGTGCTACTTAATTGAAATTATAATTAAAAATAAACGCCACCTATGTTATAAAAGTGAGCTTTAAAAGTTTCACTGATTTCCAGCATACATGAGGTAGAATATAGAGGTGATGACGTCATTTCAATTCGGACTAATTATAATAATAAAAGTCCGTTTACCAGAGTAGATCTTGCAAGCCAGAAATTCTGAGTCACAAGTTTTGGTCCAATTTTTAACCTGTATTTAGTGTATAATTGATGTTTACTTCTCGGCCTAAAACCCACAAGAATCCCTTCATTCACAAGAAAAGTGTTCTACAATCTAATCAAATTTGTGACAACTGATACCACCAAAATATCAGTTGATTCTAAGAAAGTCTAATGAGTTTTCAACTTACCCTTTGTTTACCCGAGGATTCACTTTCTTTCCAAGAAACGTGTTTGAGAGCATCAAAACAACCTTTAATTCCAAGAAAGCAAATGAAAAATAACGCGGATAGGAAGGAAAGACGATTCGGTATCAAGTTTTCAAGTTCAAAATGATTGCTGATAAACTGACAAAACATTTTTCTAGCTGATGATTAGCATTTATGAAATATGCAAAGTCACGCGAAAAGTTTTGCTCGAATTTCGTCCGATGGGGCATTTAGAGAAGGTGTTATAAATGTTTCTTAATGGCCAATCGGACTCAACTCGAGCAAAACTTTTTGCGTGACTTTGCAGAAAAATGTTTTGTCAGTTCATCAGCAATCATTTCGAACTTGAAAATATGATGATCACGGTCTTTTAAGTTTGTTTATCATAAAATGATGTGAATTTAACAGTCACCCAGGCGGTGTGCGTCACGAGATTCGACCAATCAGAATGCGTCATTTGTAGAGTGATTTTCGCGCTCGGAAAGGGCCGTTTTCAGAGGTATATGTGGTGAAATTTTCGCTTTATTCCAAGCTTGTGTTGGTAATTTCGACGCTATACCGCCGTGGAAAGTTGTTGGAACACTTTATCTTGATAGCAGTTGCGTTACTTTCAAATATTTTGCTTTCTTGAGCGTTTGTGACAAGTTTGAATTGCTCGGTTATGTGCAGGCCGCCATGATGATTTGAGTGTTGTTTTTGCCGTTGTTCTTGGATTTATTGCTGGTTACTGTTAGCGGTTTTATCGAATTATTTTGGGCATCTTGCTACTTCAACCTTTCTTCTTTGCAAATTTCGGGGTCTACCCGGGTCTACCCCTGTTAGTTTTCCCGTTATGAGCCGTTGAAAGTGTCTTGGAATTAAGACATCGTCTTAGCCAAGTGCCACAACTCCCGGGAAACGGGCTGAGAAAACATGCCGAAGTGGAAGCCGACGTGAAGCGAGTAACGCCAAATCCAGGAAGAGTTTGTTCTATTTTAAACCACAAAAGGTAAATAAGTTTGAATATGTAATAACCTTTGGAAAAAAAAACATTTTTCATAACCCAGTGCGGAAACTGAAAGCGTGACTTTAAAATAATTTGCATGCGGTGTGTGCTATGTGTATGTTGTGTAAACTTATGTGAGGGAATAAATTGTTATAAATCTCTACCAAAACACAAAACCATTATCGAAGATCCAGACAACATCATACAGGATTTTAAAACTGTGAGGTTAGGTTCTACTTTATAACAAAATCGATATACTGCGCTCACTTCAAGGACCGCACAGACAAGATTGACAAGATCGTGGTTTATTTCACTGTTTATTTCTGCGACTGTAGCTTCGGTGAAATTTCAATTGTGCTGCAGCTGTTCGGCTCTTTCGGTCTGTTTTCCTCTTGCCTGATACAAGATTTATTTGCGCATAAGGATTTCAAACGGGCACTGTTTTCAAAATAATATAAACTTGTCGATGAAAATAAAATTGTTATGAGAGACGATTTCTCACCTAGCTGTTTGCACGCGCTCCCCCTGCTTTGCCGGTAACAAAGTCCATCAAATATATAAACACTTGTAATGGACGAATTTTTTTTTAGTTAAGCAAATCCAGTTATGAACTACAGATCTCTTTCACTTTGAGATAAAAACATACATATAAACCAAACAGTACATAAAATCTTATGAGAAGCAGGAAATTAGTCGCGGCTCAAAGTCGGCTAGATCGGACGATCGTCTCCGAATCGCGATAAACTTCTTGAAATTGTCTTGTGAAGCCAATAGCAAGCATCTAAGGCCACTATGAGATCTTGAAAATTCTCGAAATCGGTCTCTTCCGTAATGTTTTTCGGAAAAGGCAACAGTGTTTTGATCCCTGGGTTTGATTCATTTCTCTTACGAGATGCGAACTCGACCGTGTCAGGATTGAAATAAGGCACAGTAACAGTTTTACCCGTGAACCTTTGTGGGTCGTTACGCACACCGCCTGACAGTCACCCAAAGGTCTCAAGTGCTTGACATTCTTTCTCCACGTGATGTTAAAATTTCGGTTTTTCCAAGAATTCCCAGTTACTACACAAATAGCAGATACATGTACAGCGACCGTTTGTCGGATCTCTGCACTTCAGTTTGACAAAGCAATTTTGTCAGAGAACTCACTGT